TTCAGTTCAGTTCAGTTCAGCTCATTTCAGCTCATTTTAGTTCAGTTCAGCTCATTTTAGTTCAGTTCAGTTTAGTTCAGCTCAGCTCTGTTCAGTTCAGTTCAGTTCAGTTCAGTTCAGTTCAGTTCAGTTCAGCTCAGTTTGGTTTAAAATAATTACTGAGAGTCCAAAGACTGAAGAGCAAATCCATCGATGGATAGAGGGAAAGAAACGTCATCGATTAGCGAGTGAAAAAAAAAAAAAAACCTTGATAGAAACCAGACTCAGTTGGGCACGACCATTTTAATTTCTCCGCTGGCCAAACGTCTTGTGCAGAGCTGCAGTCTCAGCGGCGGAAGCTGGAAGCTGGCCTCAGCGAAGACTCGTCTGTCCCTGGAGCGTCACAGGAATCAGACTCATGCTCTCCACTCCTCCATGACCACCACAGCATCTGCTCAGGATACGGCCTGGTCCAGGATATGGAAACCTAGGGGTCATCTCGTCTCCGGTCTTGGATCAAAGCAGTGTCTGAAGGTCTCGGGATGAGTTTCGCCAGGTGGAAATGGAGAATAAAGAGAATAATATGAGTTAAGATTAAAGTTAATCAGCATTGTGCACGGAAAAGACCGAACAGGCAGTGAACCTTCGTCCACCAGTAGACACAGGCATTGGACTAACTGGCTGGACCCTGCACTAGTTTAGCTGAATAAAATCAGCAAACACTGTAAATGAAATATGAACACACGACGCTGCGCTGCCGGACACTGCTGCTACTGTCGGCTCAGAGAACGAGACGTTCATAACGGAGACTCATTCACAAACAAATCACTAACTCCATTAGCATTAGCAGAGACAGCAGGAGAGGGGGGTCAGGACACGGATTAGACCAAATCTAACTGGGAGGGGGGATAATGCATCTCCATAAACACACACGCACACACATATTCTTTATCAGCACTGCCGTGCACACACTGATCCATCATCTACAGATGTGATGTAAAATTATAATATTCATCATTTAAATAGATATTAGCATACTGACCAGCGGGAAACTCCCAATCATAGATATGTGTGTGTGTGTGTGTGTGTGTGTGTGTGTGTGTGTGTATCTCTGGCTCTGGATGGCCAGTCCTCCACTGCACCTCGGTCCCGCATTCATTCAAAAGCAGCGCTGCCCTGTACTAACATGGCCGCTCTATTGACACATTCCTTCCAGTAGACAACAACAGCGCAGGCCACATCTAATGATGATATCTAATTCTGGATGATCAAGATGATGACAGAGTGTGTGTGTGTGTTCTGTGTCTGTGTTCTCTCTCTGTGTGTGTGTGTGTGTGTGTGTGTGTGTGTGTGTGTTCTGTGTCTGTGTTCTCTCTCTCTGTGTGTGTGTGTGTGTGTGTGTGTGTGTGTGTGTGTGTGTGTGTGTGGATTATTAGTAGCAGATAGAAATGTATAGGAACAGTGTGAACATTAGCATTAGCGCTGGTGTGTGTGTGTGTGAGCACAGCGCCCCTTGCTGGCCCTCACCCCTC